CGAGCTCCCTGCTTGAGCTCCCATTTGCAGGGGGGGTCAACGGCGATGAAACCATGCCTGACCTACCGGAGCTGCTGGCCGACGCCCGTGGGGCACTCCCCGTCCTCCCGGCCGCTGTAGGTGCCTGCCAACGGCTGCCTCTGCGTGGGCTCGCATTTCCCTCCGACTGGATTCCCACAATGCAGGCGCAAATAGGCATTAGCGCTTTCGTCCGTTCGAGTCTCAGTGAAACCACGTGAAGCTATCTTTCAGTTTGACGCCCCACTAAGACCACGGTCATATAAGGACATGGGCAATGGTCAGGCTGAACATTTACCATTAAAACACACAATGTTTCTGTAACACACGCCATTGGCGTGAAAATGTAGCACAGTCCAACCAGTCATCAATGTCGAAATAACTGGCAGCCAAGCTTCGTAAATCATCATCCCATCGTGTTGCCGGTCGTCCTTGTTTGCGACGAGGCATTTGTGTGAAATTATGCCTCCAATTCGCTGCTGGAACCCATCTGATGGCGTCAGTGTGCCATCCACTCTGGCTGGCAAAAGTTTTTGCCAACGTAAGCATACGATTGCGCAACTGCTGTGTCCAGCTGGCGATCGGATATTGGCTCATCGCATATGAAATCCGAGCATTCATTCTCCTCATGGTAACTGCGCACGCTTCATTGTCAACACGCCTCCAACAAACAATGGATCGTAGCATGCCACGCTGAACAACATCCAAATTTGCAAGCTGCTTTTTCGGATAATGGCAGGGTTGACAATCCATGTAACGCGGCAGGAAAAACCACCGCTTGGAAAAGCCTCATACGATTCTTGAGGCAGACATTTTTATTCAGCAGCGTATGCCGATGAGTATGAAACTTACTCCACGCAACGCGGATCCTGTGTGAGCATTCTACTGCGCTGCGGTTGCGCAAATTACCACAAAGGACGTGTCCAAGATACCGATGCTGATCCTTTCCATGCAAAACGGAAATCATGTCGCCGGCCACATCCAAAAACGTTGGTGATGTGAGCTCCTTGGTTGTCAGGATCTTGGTGTTTTGGGGGGTTCAACTGTAATCCACCTTTTGAGATAGCGTTTCCAACATGTACACCAGCTCGGACTCAGCTTTGCTGTGCAGCATTAAGTCATCTGCAAAACGAATGTTCCTCAACCGTTTAACATTGCCAATGTGAATCCCACCAATAACCAACCGATTCTTCCATGATCGCACAGCTTCTTCAAGCCCAGCGTCGAAAAACAGCGGACGCAAGATGTCTCCTTGTTTGACACCGCGCAATATCTGAAACTTTCGGCTGCCATTAACCGAGCCGTGTTGTCCAGTATACATTGTTTTCAGAAGCTGTACATATGATGATGACACCCCTTGCCTGGCAAGTGCAATGAACAGTGCATTGTGTTTGATGCCATCGAAGGCCTTTTTTTATATCCAAACTTGCAAACCATAAATCACAGTTCCACTCAATTGATTTGCCACACATCGTGTCAAAATCAGCGAACGCATGTTCGGCCCTTCCGTGTGGGCGAAGGCCTACCTGGTCGGGCGCTTGTCTGCTATCCAGAATCGTTTGCAAACCAAACGTGAATGTAACATCTTTGCAAGAATTTTGTATGTGACCTTTAGCACGGCAATGGGTCGCCAATTCTGAGCCAAAGAGGTGTCACCAGGTTTTGGAAGCATGGTAAATATTATATTATTGTATGGTACCACGTTGGGTCCCATTCATTCTTTGCCAACATTTTGTTGCAGATGTGAAGCAAACATTGGTGTAATGGTGCGCTTGCGTAGGAAAACATTTCCAAAACCAAACCGTCAGGGTCAGGCGCGAAAAAAAAAAGACAGATCACACCGCGGAAACTGCCGCCAATGTTGGCCTCCTTACGTAGTTGACGTCGTTGCTCACAGCTCAGAAGCGTGATGTCCATCCCGGCATCGTCGTTGTCCAGGCGACCTGCCACACACCGCAATCAGGTTGACCATCGGCAACAAAATTCACGCTGGCAAAATTCACGCTGCTTGTTGAAGGGAGTTTCGGGCCTAAAAACCTACAGTAGCTGGGGTCCCCTCCAAATTGCGTTGCGCGCCTGCATTGCACGCACCGCGGCGTGCAGTCGTCCATGGACAAAAATGTTTGGTGGCCCTCTCCTTTTTCATGTAAATGTATGCGCCGATGGGCCGCTGCTTGCACTTCTCCAGCTGGATCTGTCTCCGGGTGAATGCGCTGGCGGGGGGCCGCCCGCTTCACATGCCTGCCACTCTCGCATGTGTTTGCCTTGGCAGCCGATCAGGACAAATGCGGGGGAAAAACAACATGGAAAATGATCTAGTAGCGCACGGCAGTGAGGCGACTGGGCAAATCGAACACGCGTACGGGCGTGTGGAAGGAAAACAAAAAGTCTGGTGAGCAGGAGGGGGTCTGTGGCCCAGCTTAGCCCCTGCGAGCAGGCGTGTAAGTTGTCCTTTTTTTTTTGCTCGGCCTTTTTTATGCCGGGGGTTTTGCAGGTTTCGTGGGGGTTCGCGGAACGTTCGCGGGGGTTGTAGATCCCCCCGTCGAATTGGTAGAGCATGTTTGCAAAACCTTCTTTGAAGGTTCGGTGAACCTTTGGGGTTCGGCGACTTTTGGCTAACCTTCTGTGGGCTCGACAAGCTCCAGCTTGACCGTATATAGGGGGCGTACTCACGGAGAGGTGTATGCATACAATTCTCCTCCATTTTCATGCCTTGGCGGGGGCAAGGGCCGGGAGAGGGCCATAGAAAACAGGCTGGGTGCTGTTGAGCGCCCGGCTGCAAAAACAAGGAGGGCAGACCAACGGCGCGCATAGGCTGCGGCAACTACTGCCAGCAGCGGCTGTGCGCGCAAAACGACGGGCAAGTAAGTGCACGAACTGGGCAGCCTCAGAGTTAAAGCGTGCCCCCTGCCCGAACGCCATCACGACAAGACGGCAGCGAAGGGACCGGAACAGCTCGGGGCGATTGCGTTCCCCAGGCCCGTCGCGCAGAGCGCAAGGGTGCATCATTTTTTTTTTTTTGCACTGCTGCATTGGTTTATCATTTTCCAATGCTCCGCACACTCCGATAGATTGTGTCAGTTTGCAGCAACCCTAGGGACCCGAGTTTCGTCCTAGTTCATATTTTGACCCGAAGTATACGCTGTACATGAGCTCGCGCACATGGGGGCAAAAGGATATCACACGGTCCTAACTTTGTTTTGCCCGGGTGCCCATTACAATGGCGCTGTGGCGGCCAACGCGCGCATGAGGGCCAATGTTGGAAGAGTTTCTGTCAATCAGGCTGGATCTGACTTGGGGAATGGTTTCCGCCGAGGTTCGGACCTCAAATTCGCAGATGATGTGTTCTGCAAAAACAAAACGCGAGACGCACAACAAATGCATGACAAGATGCTTGTCGAGATGGGCAGTGAATCAAAATAACTAAAGGGAATTGTTTTTGTCACGACACGTCCCGCTGGGCCGGTCCTTGTGGCTCTGGTATCTTTGCTTGCCACTTTGTTTGATTCGGTCACATGCCTATTTTTGCATAGTCCGCTTAGCAAACGAGCGCTTACCCAGAGTTGCTCTGTCTCTTTGCTGCCGCTTGGTCATTTTGGAGCCCGAAGCTGCTCAATTTGTCAGATTCCTCGCACGCAAGCGTGCGTTTCCTGGCCTTCCCACAGCACGGCACGGGCATACGCTTGGATCTGTCGCAGCATGTTATCAAGGTTGTCAAGCCATTGAGAAACATTGGGATTCATTGGGATATAATAGTTTGTCAGGTTCGCTGATCTATTCTGTCTTCGAAATAATGTACGGAAAAGTCTGGAATTACGTTTGCATGGCCAAAGCTGATTCCAAAAGTTGACATGGGGGATTTTGGAATTGGATCCGGACCGTGATTTTAAGGGAGTACGGCGTACAGATCCATTACGCGGGATCGTATTTTTGCTTCCACAAAGTTAAGGCACCCCATCATGAGTTGGGGATGACAAAACAGGAATTAAACGGTCGTGAATGAAGGTTAGGGGGTTCCTACATTTTCCAGTCTCTGATTGCCGAGGTCAACAAAAGAGACGGGAAAATAAATTGGAGCTCAGATTGGTATTTCCGTTAGCATGTTATTTGTTTTTTGGTTTGTTCCAAGAATTGCCAGACGAAAAATGAAAAGTAGGGCTTTTCTCCAAGCAGAAGGTGATTGCGTTGGCGATCGAAACGACGTGGGAGCCTCAATACACGTATTTCCATGGGAAGCATTTCATTTGCAGAGGAAGCCATGGCAATTGCGGAGCCTCTGCGATAACCTGTGCTATGGTTGGAGCCGCCGCAAGCTTTGGAGCAGCATCATGCATTTCTCATGTTGACATGCGTAATCCTTACCCCTAATATTAAAAAGCAACTTTATGAAATAAATAATTGTAGCTCGATTTGAATATTTTGATTTCGGTTGCAACCAGAGTACTAGATTGTCGATGAATTTTGACGAATTGGTCGTTGGATTTCGTTTTCGACGTTTATTCATTATTTATTCGGACTTTGAAGGAGTTGATGGCTGGATTTAGAATCGATTTCACAGCGTAGCCATTTTGGCTCAAGCCTTTTTACTTGGAGCTCAGATTTGCCATGGCGCCAGTTTCTGACGGGTGGGCCTGGCTTTTGCCGCTGCTGACTGCACATCTGGCTTTTGGAGTGACTGAGACTCCAAGGGGCGAGTGGGGGGCTAGCCTGGACCGCCGGCAGCGCCGGGAGCTCACCCGACAGTTGAACGTGGCCTGGGGCAGCGCCATGCCGCTGCCGGCCTTACATGTGGGAGCCCGCGCAGCCCGTTTTGTGGGGGCGCCAACCGCGCCGCCTATATGCAGCTGGTGACGGATGAGGCCAAGCAGCACTTCTGG